CACGTTCTTCCCTTTCTTCTGGTCTACTTCACTAACATTTTATTTCACCTTCACAGTCTTCCTAATAACTTCTTGATTGATTTTAGTATGGAACTATAAAACAGCTCTCTCAGGCCCTTTTTAAACAAGCTTGACAAAGTGGAAATAATGCTGCTGAAAGAGAAGGGAAGATTTCTGAGGAAAAATGTTAAGAATGTATAAGTACACAGCAATATCTCTGAACTGTAAGACATCTTCCAATTTTGATTACACTGAAAGATAAGATTTGTTTGGACATTAAAAGGAAGCACAAAGTACTATGAAATAAAGATTCCTCCTGAGATCTGACAGATTATCAAGGTGTGGATGGCGTGGGTTGCAGATATAATCTTACTTCTTGTTACTTCATGGACAGTAACAAGACATAGAATTTAGAAGAAAACCTGGGTGAAACACAACAAAACAACTTAAGAATAATCTTTGGACTGGGGAGATAGCTCAGTGGTCTAAGTGCCTGTCTGGCAAGCACAAAGACTGAGTTCGGATTCCCAGTACTCCAGTCATGCTGGTCCTGGAATACCAGGAACACCATATGCGCCCTGGAAGCTGGCAAGGTGGTGCACTCCTATAATCCCAGCACTGGGCAGGCTGAAAAAGGAGGATCACTACCAGTCTGAACTGCGTAGTGAGACCCTGTATTAAAAAAAATAATCTTTGGATGCTTAGCTGAATATTTCCATGTACCATCAGGAAAAGATGGCTATGGTTGTTAGAAGAGTACCTGGCAAGTCCTGTTAGTTTTTATCTATATTTAAGGAGGCCTCGTTCCTGGATACTATCCCCCTCATCCTCAACAGATATCCAAATCTGAGGACTCTCAAGTCGCTTATGCAAAATGGCACAGTATTTGTATATTACCTCTCACATGTTTGTTATGGAATTTCTCTAGATGCCCCCCAAAACCCATGTATGCATAGGTAGGACTTTTCAGAGGTTGCTGGATTTAAGGCATGTAACACTAGGATAAAGTGGTTTAATGCTGGGATTAAAGAGATATGATAATTAACATAGTTCTGGCTATGACTCATGGGAAGGTCCACTCTGGGTGTGGGTGGCACCAACCAAAGGTGGGCAAGTACCACCCAGAAGGAGGGCAGCTTCAAAGGAATGAAAGGGAGAGGCTTCTGTCAGGATGCATGCCATCAACTGTTTTTCCTCTGTGATGCCCTTCTGCCACGTCCCCTTGCCTAGAAGTCAGCCAACTAAGAACTGAAACCTCTACAAGGAGAAAAGTAATTAAGATATCTAAAAGAAGTTACCTCTAGGTTACTTACGATACCAACTTAACACAATGTAAGCATTATGTAAACAGATGTCATACTATATGGCTTAGGGAATAATGACAAGAAAAAAAGTGAGTTCAGTACTAACACAACTTTCCTCCCAAATATTTTCCAAACACAACTGGTAAAATATAGGGACATACAATCAGTAGATACAGAGGGAAAATTGTGTATACAACTAAACATGGAAATTCAGGGCAGTGATTATTAGGAGCTGTAAGGACCCAGACAGACCAGATATGGCTAATTGTGGTTGCAGTAACTCTCCTAGTCTACTTTAAAATAGCCTTCTGAAATACTTACGCTTCCAATATTTTTTACTTTAAAAAATTTCATAGATGCTTAAGTGAAAGGAAAGCTACCAAAATACCTGATTCAAATCACTGTTTTAAAGTAAACTCTAGGGCCAGCCAGATAGCTCAGTGGACTAAAGTGCCTGCTTAGGCAGAGAGCAGCAGCTGGGGTTCGATCACCATTGTGCTGTGCCAGCCCCACCCCCAGGGAAAGCTGAGAGGGCGATTGAGACTGGGCATGGTGGGGGCGCACCTGTAATCCCAGCACTCGGGAGGCTGAAAACAGGAGGATCACTATGAGTCCCACCAATGTAGTGAGACCCTGCAGATCCTGTACTAAATACACACAAAAAAACTCTAGCTTTTCACTACCTATTGTGGCAATTTACAAAAGTTTCAGATTTGGCGGATTATCAAACAGGAACTATAACCCGGCTCTCCACAACTAAATTATTCACCATAACAAACTCTGCTTAATGAATCCTTCATTTTACATTTCTTTGTCTTAGTTATCCTGGGGTTCCTACAATAAGACCTTGCAGTTTGGGTGTCAGCTGGAGTAAAAGAAAGTTATGTAAGCCTCCTACTAACCAAAGCAATAGTTGTTTTTCCATATATCCACACTCCAGTTCTCTGGTGGCATCCCTTTAGGGATGCCCAAGAAGTTAGATGGAGAATGGAAAGCATAAAATTAGCAAAGAAAATGGGAAGAACAAAAGACTCAAATTCTTTAAAATCAAAAGAATAACTTCATATAGATTAGTTCAATATGAAGAATATAAAATTTGTATTTTCTGGGTCTCATAACAGAAGACATGCAAGTCTCCTGTGTTAAAAATCCAAGCATGCTGAGTTGGACAAGATGGTGCACATCTGTAATACCAGAACTCTGGCAGGCTTAGGCAGATGGGAAAAAGTTCAAGCCCAGAGTGGGGAATTTAGCAAGACCCATTTCAAAATAAAAAAGGGCTGAGGATGTAGCTCAGTGTTAAGGCCCTTAGTTCAATCTCCAGTATGGGTGAGGGGTTGGGGGAGAGGCATGTGTTCCAAGCATGCAAGGTAATTATATCTCTGTAGTGGAGAGCACTGGACTTGGTACTGCAGGAGCATTAGGGCACTGATAGCTATGTCTCCATTAATGACATTCAAGGATAGAAACCTTCACAGGTTAGATTAGAAGGCTGGACTAGAATACACCCTAAAGCCACATCCTAGCAAAAAATCTCATTTTACTGTTAAAACAATAAACTGCTTCAACATTCCAGGAGAGAAAAATGTTAGTGGAGAAAATTCATTCAATTAAAAATTTTGAGCTGGGGCTACAGAGTTCAAAGCCAGCTTCAACTCTAGAGAGAGGCCCTATTGGCTTTTCTTATTCTGTTGGCTACTGTCAGTGTTTATTATCTCTGAAGAATAACAGAAGATAAACACCCTACAGCAACTAGTTTGGTATCCCATTTAACCCTCATAGAAACCAGAAGAGGTTATCATTGTTTTTTACATGTGAAAGACTATGGTTTAAGGAAGTTATAAAACCTGGGAAAGATCACAAAGTAAGTAGTAGGGTCTGGCTTTGAACCTAAACACTCTGTTCCCAAAGTCCCAACCTATGATGAGATACACTTCCTTCAAAGAATATCATAAAATTTTAACAGAGGGCTGAGGAGATAGCTCAGCAGTCTAAACACTTGCCTGGCAAGCACAAGGACCCCAGCACATGACCACTGGTTTGATCCCCAGTACATGGCCACTGAAGCCAGGCATAGTGGTGCTCACCTGTAATCCCAGTGCTGGGGAGGCTGAGACAGGAGGATCACAAGTTTGAGCTGCATAGCAAGCTCTACCAAATAAATAGAAGATTTTCAAAAATATTAACACAATTACTCATAAGTTTCCTTGTTTTGTATGTGGATGTGTGTTCTTAACTAATCGCAATACTTACTAAAGCAAGTCTTTTTCTGTTTAAACTGGCAAAGCTATTCAAAAGGGAAAGCGACCAAGAGATGCAGGAAGTTGAAGGGAGGAGGGGATGAAAAAGAATTAAGATGTGTTATATACAAGTACAAACTTCCCATAATGCAATCATGTACGGCAAACATGCGAATTTAAAAATAAACTAGCAAAACTATTTCTACCTTTTAGGTTGGCCATCACTTGGAACTGCAGGAATATACCATCCAAAATGGATGAGAACCTCTGGTCTTCTATGGTTAGTTTTCTTGTTTGGTATTGGGGATCAAACTCAGGGCCTTGTGCATGCCAGGCGGGCACTTACGCCGTTAAGCTACACTCCTGTCCCCCACTCCAGCACTTTCTCATTTGGGAGAAATATGCTTAAGGTCAGTCTAACGTTACCTTCGTCTAGACATTCGAGACTTCTTAGATGTGACAAAATTTTTTTCCTTGCGCTTTAAAGAGGGTAAGTGAACCTATGATACACAAGTAGAGTTAGGATGGCAATCCATCTGATTTTTATCATGGCTTTGTTCAGAAATCTTCTGAGAGCCCTTTTCAGATCTAGCTTTAGGGATTCAAATGGAAACACTGGACCACGGTGCCCTTATCACTGACCCAAAAGGGCACTCTACAGGCACAAGTGACCCTTCCTGCTCGGCCTTACAGGATCAATCCATGGTCTGCGTAGGGGCTCAGCAGGCCTCCTTTCCAACGACTGAAGGAGCCGGGGGCGTGGCGAGGGAGTCGCTTTCCAGACGCCGCCCGGGCACACCCGCACCGGGCCAGCACTTTCCCCGTAAAGCAACCCGCACGCTCCGTGGGAGAAAAGGGCTTCCCGTCCCTTCCCTGAAGACCTGAAGACCAAAGAAGCGTGGGCACGGATTCGGCGATCCGGCCGAGCGTACTCACCGTCGTTCTCGTCGCTGTGCCGCCGCCGCGACATATTGCCCACCTGTGCGTCGCTGGGCGCCCGGCCGAGTCGCGGGACCCGGAGCACTTCAGAATCAGTCGGAACGCCGGCCGGCACAGACAACCTACTAGGCGCGCGGAGACACCGGCGCGCAGGCGCACTCGCTCGTGGCGGCTCCCGGAAACGCGCGTGGAGACGACGCCAGGTGGGTTGGGCGGGGGAGCGCCAGCGTCTGCTGGCTCACAGGGCTACCCGCGTGTGGGCTGCATGCAGCCGCCCGCTCGCTTCCACTACTGTCGGCTGCTTCCTCCTCCCGCCTTCTGCTCAGTGTGCTTCCGGGGCCACGCAGAAGGCGCCGCCGCTGCGACTATCCGGAGCGTGCCAGTCGCGAAGTGAGGCACAAGAGCGACCCCTGCTGTCCCTCTCGACATTTTCCCGGCGACCCCTGCGCTTTCTGCCGCGCAGGCTTCCGGAGCGCGGTGACGTCACGAGCGTTCCTCTTACGCAACCCAGCGGCGGTTCTGTCGGGGAGAGTCTGGGAAGCTGTTACCTCCAAGCTGAGGCAGTTTGTCCAAGGCAGAACTAGAGAGGAGCAGGATCCGCGGGTACGTAGAACTCTGCCTCGTTGGAGAGCTGCGCCGGGCAGTTGGGCCAGGACGGGCTCGCGGGTTGGTGCCTGGGCGGGACGCCGCCGCACAGACCTACTTGCCTCTCACCTCTGAGTTGTTAGATTAAGAAGGAGCAGATGATTGTTTTCAGTGTCACAGTATGTTTCTAATGTTTATTGGGTAACTGTACATTGTATGAACTTTCCTTACCCTCATGTATTTGATGAACACAAACCCTACTGCCTTGTCCGGGGTGGTCTCAAGTTTCACTCTCGGCCGAACTATAACATTCTCAGCCTTGCCCATTTCCGTACATGGCCCCGACCTTTGGTGGGTTAATTTAAAGATCTAACGAGGAATCGTTCATAGTATACTTCCCTTTTTTACATGGACATTTGTATAAACCCCAATGGTTGTCTGTTTAAAGCAAATCCATAATCAGATCTTGCTACTCCTTAGTATAAAATCTTCCACAGGCTTTACATTCCAAACTCCCAATCATAGCGTGTAAGGTTCTGACCCACTCTGCTTCACCCACTTTCTTTCTCTGATAAGTGAAGCTTGTTCCCATTTTAAGAATGTGTACCAGTTATTTCCATTATCTGAGCACCTCTGCTTCAAAATCTGCATGGCTGCCTCTGCTCACTTCCGCTAAGGTTTTACCTTAACCATACGGTCCTTCGTGAGGTATTTCCTTGACTATTAAATGACTTGTTTCATCCAACGAATGTGCTGTACTTTCTAACGTTTAGCACCTCCTTGCACTAGGCAGTGTTCTAGGTATTGTTGAGGGAAGTAAAGAGAAACCCACGATATCTTGGTGCTGATCTTCTGAATTAAAGAATGGTCCCCAGGACAGTAGTGCAGTCTGAGTTAGTGAGCAAAGGGAGAGTACTGGAAAATAAGATTGGAGAAGTGAGGGAAAGGGGCTTTTTATTTTACATGTTATCTGATTAAATTGAGAAACTTTTGGAAGATGATCTAACTTGTTTTTTTAATACTGTTCTGATTCTTACAGGGAAAAAGCAGGTAGACTATTACAGTAATTCAGGCAAGAAATGCTGGGGGCTTAAAATTGGATAGTGTTGAAGGTAATCCTCAAGCAAAGCTGATATGATTTTCTGAAAAGCTAGATGATTTTGTGAGAAAATTAGGAGCCAAGAATTATTCTGCAAGCCAGGCATGGTGGTGCATACTTGTGTAGTCCTAGCACTTGGAAGGCTGAGTGGGAAGATTGCCATGAGTTCAAGGCTAGCCTGAGCTACATAGCAAGATCTGCTTTCAAGAAACAAAACAAACAAAAAAAGAATTATCCTACAAGTTAAATGGAGTGGCACATACTTATGAACTAAGCAGTCTTGGAGCTTGAGGCAGGAGGATAGGAAGATGGCAATTTAGCAACGTAGTGAGACCTTGTCCTCAAATCAGAAGGGGTGAGGATGTAACTCAGTACAAAAGTCCTGGGTTCAGTCCCCCAGTACCACATTTTTATCATTTTCAGTGGCAATCTTTTTCTCTGCCTCCTCTTCTGGAACATGGGGGCCTCGCAGCCTGTTACAACCTCAAGTGTCCACCTGAGGCTGCCTCCTTCAAGATTACTTTTAGGAGACAAATTTACACATTCACTGGTGACATGATCATCTAGTGTTCTAAGGGCAGGACTTTGGACAGGGCATAGTGGACATAGTTCGTTTTCAGCTTAAAGGCTGGACTAGAACCATCTGACTCTAGCAATTGGTATTGTCAGCTGAAAGCCTCAGTTCCTCTTTAAGTGGATTCCTCTTGTGGATTCTGTGAGCTGGATTGGTTGTAATTCATAGCATAGTGGTTGGTCTCAGAGTGAGCAGAGTCAGTGCAAGTATATCCTTTGTAGGACTGAGCCTTAGATGCTACTTAGTATTGCTTCCATCGTATTTTGGGGAGCAGTTATAGGACCATATAAGCTTAGAGAGTAGAGAAATAGAACAGGAATGGCCTGTGGCCATTTTTGTAAAATAAAATCTGCTAGAGTTAACTTTTAGAGAAATCAATTTTTAATGTTAAGTGTAAAATACAGTGTTAAACTATAGTGTTACTACTCTTGTCCTGTAAGGTAGATATTGCTATCATCAATTTATAGATTAGAGAATTAAAACTCAGAAAATGTAAATAGCTTGCCTAGGATCACATACTTGCAACCCAAAAACATACTTTTGTCAGTGCTTAGTGTTACCTCTTAGTGTTTGTTATTTGTAACATTTACTTTACTGTATAAAAGAAACAATGTGGCATGTTAGTTACAGTGTATCTATTTTGACAAGATTTAGCCACTGTAGTAAAATTGATACTCTGCCTCATTAAAATGGGCCCTAAACCAGGGTAATCCAGGGAGGATGAGGCAGAAGGATTGCTTCAAATTTGCCTACGTAGTTCCAGTGCAATCTGAACTATACAGTGAGATCTTAGAAAAGAAAAAAAAAGACTGATATTTGGGAGTAAAAAGTACAAAGTATACATAGTATATAAGGCACTGGCACATGATTGATTCTGGTTGTGGGTAGTGCATTTACCTCTGAATATTTCTGTGGCTTGCTGCCTAATACATGTTTTGCTCAAATGCTACTGTGCTGCTCTACAAGGGTTTTTCCTATCTGTGTGTAAAGAGGCCTTCTATCCCTTTGCTTTCATTTTTCTTCATAACCCTTTCCCATCTTGAGTTTTTTAAAAAATTATTTATCTCTTCCCAATAGCATGTAACTAAGAAGACCATGACTTTTTCTTGTTTCATTCACTGTTGTAGTTCCATTATATAGAACTGTGCTTGCCATTACAAAGTTGTTAATTATTGTTGGCTGAGGGAATAAATGGATAGCTTAGTGTACTGAGCACATGCTAAGTTGTATGATTAATTAGCCTCATATTTTCTTTAAAAAGTATCTGAAGACTTCAGCATTGCTGTTTCCCCCTTGCTTATATCCTAGCAGGTACTGAACTGAAAAGCATCTGCTTTGCTGCAGCAACCAAACCAGATGCCTTCTTCCACTTCTTCAGACCAAGGAGAGGTTCAGGAACCCTGCATTTTAAGATTTTCTGACTTGGATTTAAAAGATACAAGTCTTACTAATCCTAGCATCAGTCTCAAAGCAGAGTTAGATGGCATTACAAAGAAGAAATATTCCTTTGCAAAGAAAAAGGTAAGAGTACTGTCGCTGTTTTCTTGATCATGTATATATAGTTAATGCAGGTATACTAGAAGTAACTTAGGTCAGCCTCCAGCTCAAGGAATGGTCCAGTCAGGAGTGTTAGCCCATGATGGTAATGTGCTCCCTACAGAGGGGAATCCTGACTGAGGTGTGAGCCTGGACAGCTATGTGGAGTATTTGAAGAGGGTAGCTGGTATTGATGGTGATCTTCTGTGCCATTTGCCCACTTTTTTTTTTAATCAATGACTAGAACCTCCTCCTAACAATAGAGAACCCAAGGCTCAGAAAGGAAAAAGCTGAGGAAATGAAATTGAGCCAGAATTGTCTTGCCTTCAATCTTTTGTCCTCTTTTACAGAGCCTTCTGGCTCTGTTAGTGAAGAACAGATGCTTCTGTAACTTCCTAGCTGCCACCTCTCCACTCTCTTCAGTAACTTCAACTTATAACAAATTATACGAATTGTATGAATGACCAACATACTCTGTTTGTATAGAAGTCTCATTCCCCAAGAGGCTGGAATAGTAGAAGACAAGGTGGGATCAGTGTAAGGAGCTACATTATGTTGGACTTGTAGGCCGTTGTAAGGACTTTGCTAGTGAGTAGGAAAAAACTTTTGGAGGATTTTGATCAAAGAAATAACATCTGATTCAGATTTTAAAAGAAATTTTTTTTGGCTGAATGAAGCATAAATTATGGTGATAAAAATGGAAAGCATGAGAATAGGATACCTAAGAGACACGATGTTGTCTTTGATCAACAAAAGGGATGTAATAAGAAGTGGGTAGATTATAGATTATTTGAGCCAGGCTTGATGGTGCATGCCAATTTTCCTGTCACTCAGGAGACTGAGGCTAGAGGATTGCCCAAAATTTCAGGCTAGCCCAGGCCTCACAGTGATTTCAAGGCCAGCCTAAACTACATAGCAAGACCCTGTCTCAAAAACAAAGCGAGAAAGGCCGGCCAGATAGTCCTAAGCAGTGGACTAAAGCACCTGCTTAGGCATCTTTAGAGAACAGCAGCTGTGGTTTGATTCCAGACCTGCCATGCTGGCCCCTCCCTTGGGGATGCACTGAGATGGCGATTGAGACAGAGTGTGATGGTATGCACCTATAATCCCAGAGCTTAGAAGACTGAACACAGGAAGATCACTAGGAGTCTGATCTACATAGGGAGACTCTGTGGACCCTGTAGATTCTGTACCAAATACATTAAAAAAAAAAAAAAAAAAAAGAGAAAAAGTTTATGGATAGATGGCTCAGTGGAATAGGCACTTCCCTGGCAAGCTTAAGGGCCTGAGTTCAATCCCTGGTTCCGAAAAAAAAAAAAAAAAAAGAGAAAAAGTTTATGGATATATTTTGGAAGTAGAGCTGATGGATTGGATGTAGGATGTAGGAATATAAGAGGTTATGGTCTTCTGTTTATGTTTTTGGGGTTTTTTTCATATGCCTGTCATAATCTGCTACTACTGTATTTACTTATAATTCTAAAATATGTTTACATCTGGTATATCAAGTTTTTTTTTCCTCATTGCTCTTGTAAAATTTCCTTCCTTATTAATCATGGCTGCAATAACAAATAGGCCCAGTTTGTAGTGGGTTTCACACATTAGAAAGTGTTTGGGCTTGAGGAGGGTGGTAGGTGGGTTGTTCTATCAACAGGAAGTTGGCAAGGTTGTTCTAAACAAAAACGTTTTACTGCCCATCAAAATCCATTTTGCCTTCTTTCTGGGTAAATGGTATTTTCTAGCATTTTCTGCAACTGACCTTGGCTATAAGGACCAAGTTTTTCCAATGCAATCTAAATAGATGTGACATGTGACAACTCCAATGCTGGTCCATAAAACCTCCCATCTGTGTTCCCCCCTGCTCTCTTCCTTCTTAAATTACTGACATGGAAACTCTGAAAGCTATTTGTTAAGAATCATCACTCTCAGTCCTTAGAACTGAGTTGTCACATGTCACATCTATTTAGATTTCATTGGACAAATTTGTCCTTCCTTATAGCCAAGGTCAGTTGCAGAAAATGCTAGAAAATACCATTTGCCCAGGAAGAAGGCAAAATGGACTTTGATGGGCAGTAAAACATTTTTGTTTAGAACAATCTTGCCAACTTTATAAAAGATCCTCATCCAATTTTGGCTATATTTGCATCAAATGTATGCTTTTGATTAAAGAAATGACATCTAGAATGCTTAAATTTTTCATTTTTAGGGGCCTTCAAAGAGGAAGAATGTTGCAGACACTAAGATTAGTATGAGCAAAAATAGAAGATAGGGGAGTTTAAGTCATTAAGGGAATAAAGAAGGCTGGTGTGATTGAACTAATAAGATTGTGAAAGGAAAAATAAAGATTAGGCTGAAACAGGATGGGGAAACACACTGCAAAAAAATGATGTCTACAGACAAGGACATAAATCTATGTTACTTAACACTTATGGCTTTTTTCAGATGCAAACTCAGTTTTTTGCCTATTCATAAAAATACAATAAATAGCAGAGCAAGTTTTTACAATTAAGTAGAAAATTAAAAGTAGAAATTTTTATATTCAGAAGATGAAATAACATTTAGTAAGAGGATTACAGAATTATTTATGTCCCATGACTTTCTAACGTGTATTCTGGAAGTTTTAGAGGTTCTATAGAGGAGGCCACAAGGGTCTCACATCCCACTTAGCAGGAACAGCATGGGCAAGAATGGGAGGATGCAGTTGTCCATGCATCAGGCACGTGTGCAAGAACAACACGGGAGAAACTGGGAGAAGGCCAGGCAGGATAGGGCACTGTGCCTTATCATTGCAGTTTTGGTACGTAGGCTGCTGAGAAGAGTGGAAGGCCAAACTGAATTAAATGTAAATATTCCGATACGACTTAGATTTTGAATTGTGAGAATAAAATTAAACATCTATGGCAAGCTAGCTCAGCAATCTAAAGCACCTGCCTAGGCAGGGGACCATGTTGTCGATCCTCAGCACCACATGTCATGCCAGCCCTGCCCTGAGGGCAGACTGAGCTGGCCAAAAAAAAAAAAAAAATTAAGCATTTGGGGGCAGTTACACCTTGTGATATAAAGACTGCTTTTAGCTTATAAGAGAACTTATTTAGAGAATTCTTCATAGAATAGTAGAACATAAAACTAGAACCTCCTGTGGAAAGATAATTTTAAGGATTTCATTGGAACTTCATTAACTATACACCTAAAATTATTTCACAATCATAATATAATTGCAGGCCTTTGCGCTTTTCGTCAAAACCAAGCAAGTTCTAGCCTTTGAATGTAAAGAAAAGTTGTGGAAATGCTGTCAGCAACTATTCACAGACCCAGTCGGCATCCATAAACATGTGTCAACACAACATGCTGATGAAATTTATCACCAGACTGCTGCTATTTTAAGGCAGATGGCTGTGACATTGAGTACTTCAAAAAGTCTTAGGTCTACAGACCGAATGAACCCTCTAAAAGAGTCCCTCACTCATAGCCATGAAGGGTCTGCTTGGCTCCCTGACATAAGCTGCTTTAGTCCTGATCTGCTGATAAGGTAAGAGTTTCATTTTGTACTTTGATTTAATTTTAAAATTACAGTTCTATAACTCACCCACTAAATGGCTGAAATGTAAACAGCGAACTTTGGCAAATATAGATGAGAATGTGGAAGAACTGGAAAACTCAGTATTGCTGGGAAAGTGGCATGATACAGTCCACTCTGGAAAAATGCTCAGCAGATTCTTGTTAAAATTAGAATTCTTCCCTGTGATCCACTTCTAGGTATATAGTCCCACCACTGTCACCACAAGAAGAAAACACCCATGTCCACAAAAACCTAAAACAAGAATGTCATAGTATTTCTGTTCTTTCCCTGCCTGTCTCCCTGTCTCTTCTTCCTTTCTGAACAGTGTTACTTAGTTGCCCAGGCTGCGCTTGAATTTACAATTCTCCTGCCTCAGCCTCCTGGGATTACAGGCATGTGCCACTGTACTCACCTTTACAGAAGGATTTTTTTTTTTTTTTTTTTTTTTTTTTTGCAGAACCAGGAATTGAACTCAAGCCCTTGCACTTGCCAGGCAAGTGCTTATTCTACTGAGCCATCTCCCCGGCCCCTATAGGATTTTTGAGGTATTAGAAATGTTGTATATTTTCATAGAGGTGTCGATTGCACAGGTATACCCAAAATATATGTATAATCTATGTTTTTCTTTTTTTTTTTTTAGATATGAGTCTTTATTCTTGTGATTTCTCATTAATTTGGTTAAAATCTCAGTTCCATCCTGGAAATATTTTTTTTTTACTTTATTGAGAAACAAATATCAATGAGGCACTTTCCAAGCTGATTAATAGGACGTTTTCAGTAATTAATACATTGCACATTGTTATCTTCTCAGCTGTCATCCACAGCACAAGAAGCATCCAGGACATCCCGTCCAAACACTACTACAAATCATTCCTCTCACTGAGCCAAGCAAAAGCAGCCGTACATCTATCCTAACTGTTCTGTATATACAAATATAAAATGGTCCCTCCTCTGTATCCCCCCTGTCCAGTTCAGTCCTGTCAGAGATGGGTATTCTATTGGCATCTAAATATTTTAGGTGCTTGAATTCAGCAAAACAATCCAACACAGTCCAGTAGTCCACAATAGTAGGGGGTTGTCTGCAGAAGTTGTTGACTAGAGCCTTTTACAGCTCAGCATATTAATATGGCTTTACTTTATATACCTCATTTTTTAAATGTTTTTCATTTGTAAATATATCTTCATTTAAAAATTTTTAAATAAATACATTGAGTAGGTAAAAACTAACCGAAAATAAACAAACAAAAAAAATCTCCCAATAAGTTAGATGAAATTTATGTGTGCTAACCCAGACAAATGAACCATTCATCAGAATTTATCGGGAGCTGGGCATGGTGGCACACACCTGTAATCCCAGCACTCTGGAGGCTGAGGTAGGATGATCGTTGTGAGTTTGAGACTAGCTTGGACTATAAAGTGAGGTCAAGGCCAGCCTGCATAGGAAGACCCTGTTTCAAAAAGACAAAAAAAAGAAAGAAAATTGGGGGAAATCTCACATAGTGATTGTTTTGACGTCCATACTTTCTTTGGTTTAACTTATTTTTTATTGGTGTATATTTGTGATGCATAATAATTGTATTCATTTGGGAAGTTGATTTTGTATCTTGATCATGTTTGATCCCCTTTTTGCACCTCCGTGTTCTCCCCTCTGTTCCCTTTCCCTAACCTCCTCCCCCAACTTCAAAAAGTGTATCTCCCTGTTTCCTGCCATTTCTCCCTTATTTACTCTGTATTTATATTTTGGATTTCTAAAATAAGAGAAAACGTAATATTTAAACTTCTGTGTCTGCCTTGCTTTACTTAACATTGTGGTCTCAAGAACTACCCATTTTCCTACAAATGCCTCATTTTCCTTCTTTATGGTCAAATAATACTCTTCTATGTATACATTTTGTCTATTCAATTGGCTCATGGATATCTAGGCTGATTCTGTAGTTTACCAGTTGTGAATTATGCTGCTGTAACCATAGGTATGCAATTATTATAACCAGAGTCAGGAAATTTCTGGCTTGAGTTTTTTGCAGAATTTTCCATATTGTGTACTAGTTCACATTCCCATCAGCAGTGTACAGGGGTCCCTTTTCCCGCAGTCCTTACCAACACTTATTATTTTTTCTGTTCTTTTTTTTAAATCCAATTGTTTGTTTTTCTCTAAATTGTTATAGAGTGCTGGATGCCAGGGTGGTCAATACAGCATTTTTATAAATGGGCATTCTGAGTATAATATAGCCTGCACAGAGACTATATATATTCACAGAGACTCACTGTTTTCCTATAAGGATTGCTATTGTCTGTCTTGTGCTATGCATTATAAAATTAACCATTGGAAAGAGAAATATATCTATAATTACTACAGTGGTTGCTTGTTAAGAAACCAAAAGATTTTCTTAATATTCTGTCCCATAATTTGGGTTGGTGTGGTCTCTGTTAACATTGCCCTATGGCAGTGTTGGTTTTTCATTCCTCTAGATTTTCTTCTTTTTCCCCAATCAGTCATTCATTCATTCATTCATTCATTCATTCATTCATTCATTCATTCGCTACAGGGTCTTGCTATGCAGCTCAGACTCATAGTGATCTTCCTGTGTCAGCCTCCCCACACTGGAATTATAAGCATATGCCACTACACCTGGTTTTGGGGCTAGCTAGCATGGTGTGCCTGGGGTTCCGGGACCAGCACACTGGCATGCAGTACCAGGGATTGAACCTGGTTCCTTGCGCTTGCCAGGCAGGCACTTAGACTGCTGAGGCATCTCCCCAACTCTAGATTTTCTTGCTCAGCTGCAATTATTTCCAGCTGTAGAATGTTCCATTGCCATTGTCTTCTATTTGATTGAAACTTGTTTACTTGACTATAAACGCTTCAAGAATTGTATCATATCTCTTATACTGTACCTCTATTTTCTTAATCTTTCATATGTCTTTTTATCTTAAAACAAGTTGTTTGCAGGGTTTGGTGGTCCACGCCTGTAATCCCAGCACTCAAGAGGCTGAGGCAGGAGAATCATTACAAGTTCGAGACCAGCCTGGGCTACTAAGTGTCAGCTGCATAGTGAAACCCTGTCTCAAAAGAAGAAAACAAGTTGTTTCAGTGATAAATTCTATTTTTTTTTTTTAATGATATATTCTTTTACAGATGCAGTCTTATTCTTTTTTTTTTTTTTTTTTTTTTTTTTTTTTTTGGCAGAACTGGGGATTGAACTCAGGCCCTTGCGCTTGCCAGGGAAGCACTTATTCCACTGAGCCATCTCCCCGGCCCCTGCAGTCTTATTCTTTAGCTCTGAAATATCTTCCTGATTTTGTGTTACTCTGTTTCCTACTGGATTTTGGAAGTCTTGCCTACATTCCTCTTTCGTTATCTTTTGCTTTTTAATAAGATCTCATTTTCTATCAAGTTAAGTCATAAATGACCATTTTCTTCCTGTTTACCCAAAACTGTCTTAATGTGTCCTTATTTTTTATGTAATATGCATTATATCTTTTCATCTGTTCTCCAAAATTGTCTTGGGCTGTTGTTATATCAAATTTAAGCTTTGTATTTCTGTGTGTAAGGACTTGATTTGAATTTCCAGGCTCTCACACTGAAGTTTGAAATTCTCATTGGCAGCATCTTGCTGATAAATTTGCCTTTAGTTTTTCTTTAGTTTCTGCAGAAACTGCTGCTATTTGTTTGTCCAGTTCATGAAGCTTATTCTGTAAATGGAACAGGTCTTTTTCATTTTAATTCCATGTCTGATGTTTGTGATTGTTGTTGCTTTGCAACTTGCTCTATCGCGTTAGTTCATGAACATGTTTCTTGCTTACACACAGCTTCATTAAGAACTACATCATTCTTCTTTTCCTTGTTACCTGACGTTTTTGTCTATCACCTCTTTTTCACTTTTTGTTTCACATTCTTTATTTCATTTGTTCCCCTCCCTAGATGTCCACATTCTCATCATCTCCTTTCTGGTGACTAGCCTGCCTCCTCCCTGCGGACCCACCTTGCTAGGTCGAAGCAGCTCCCACCTGCCCTTCATCTTCCTCCCTGCAGTGGTGGGTGTGGGCCTCCTGCTCACACCCCACCCCACCCTACCCCGCCCAGCCCAGCCCTATCCAGAACAATGTTTTTTATGTGTTCCATGATAGCCATTCTTAATGATTTCTCGGAATTTTTCTGATTTCCACTTGTTTAATGGCTAAAGTGCTGAACTTCTTTTGTGTACTTACTAGTCATTAGTATGTTTTCTTTTGAGAAGTATCCATTTTTTGCCCATTTTCTTAATTGGCTCATTTGTCGTTTTTTTCCCATAGTTTTATTGATAAATAGCAATGAGACAGTTTCAAATCAAATTGGTAGGATTGGCTCATTCGTTTTTCAGTTGTCTGATTTTTTTTCTTGAATTCTTTATATATTGTAGATATTAGTTCAATATCAGAAAAGTAGCTGGCAAAAAAAATTAGCCCATTTTTGTAGGTTTTTTTCATCGACTGGTTCTTTGCTATATAGAAGTCTTAAATGTTTTAATATCCTATTTGTTCTTTTTTTTTTTATTGCACTGGGAATAGAATTTAGGACCTTGTGCTTGCCAGGTAGGCACTGTGCTGCTGAGCTATATCACTCAGCCTGTCATTGGTTCCTTATGGTATTATTGCTTGTGCTATTAGAGTTTGGTTCAGGAAATCTTTGCCCATTCCTCTATTTTGTCTTCTAGCAGTTTCAATGGTTCTGTTTTTATATTTAGGTCTTTGATCCATTTTGATAACGATTTTAGTATGGGCTGAGAAGTATGGATCTGTCATTCTGCTGCTGCGTGTGGATAGCCACTTTCCCCAGCACCATTTGTTAAAGAGGCTGTCTTTTCTTTAGCCTATAGCCCCTTTGTTAAAGGCTAGATGGCTTAAGGTACATGGATCTATTGGTCTACAAGTCTACTTCTGTGACAGAACTATTGTTTTTGTTACTATAGCTTTGTAGCATAACTTAAAATCTGGGATTATTATTTTTTATTTATTTATTTATTTGTTTCCATAATTTTATTGAGAAACAAATAGCAATGAGACAGTTTCAAACCAAATTGGTAGGACAGTTTCAATAATTAACACACTGAATGCATTCTTCCTAGTGGTTAATTGCTGTACAAGATGCAGACATGATATCTTATTTACAAACACTATTAGAACAAATCCCTCTATTCATTAAGAGAATGTAACTATATATCCTAACCATTTAGGATATATCTGTCCTAACCATTGAATACACAGATACAAAATGGACATTCATCTACATCACCTTTTTTTGTTAAGTTGCGTTATTTGAATATTATAGGTGTGTTAACTCAGCAAAATATTCTAAAAGAGTCCAGTAGCCCATAATAGTATTGGGTCTTCCGCTTAACTGGCAATGTCAGAAATTGTTGACCTGAGTCCCCCACAGCTCAACATAACAGCATGGCTTTACTTCTTATATTTCATTTTTATACTTTTCTTCTGGATGGTTAAGACCAAGGTAAAGCAGGACCTATGCAACAAGAGTTGTAGCTTTTGGGTCTGATAAGGGCAGTGAAATCCCCTCAGGATTTATCCTGAGATCCTGTACCTCAGATTGTAGAACCTTTGTCAGTGTCATCCATGTGGATGAGTCATGGCCATTGCTTGGCCAATGTGCTCTCTGTGAAAGCCTGAGAGAATGTTTACTCTCCATGTGACTCTCCTTTGGCACACTCTACATCATCGATCACTTTCCTCTTTGGGCCCATAATCTTGATTAGAAAATTTGGGACACTACCGAGGTACATCACATTACAGTACAAGTTCTCTTATGTCCTGAGTCTTAATTGACCTTGGAAGGCTAGGGCCAAAATGTTGGCTTTCCTTGCAGCCCTCCTCTTTCTCTAATTTTGGTCTGCAAACTTAGGTTGTTAACCATCCAGAAGACAAGCTTATTGTTATTACCATACAACCTATTAACCTCACTATCTGTCTGAATATCAAACATCTTAGGCATAACATGGAACAAGTATTTTTCATCAAGTATTGATATGTTGAACTTTAAGTCCCTACAGAATATGATGAAAAAAACATTTAAAAATTAGTATATATTTTTAAAAATAGGCATAAAGAATTATATACTTCTTATGTTTACACATAAGTCCAAAAATCTAACCATATACAACCTTGAAGCAGGACAGTCCCACAATATTCCTTTTCCTATCTCTTGCCTTCATTCATCACCCCCATCTTTTTGAGCAATCATCTACCCGAGAGCACAGCAGCAACTGGCATGTCATGACAAGCAGCCCATATTCAGAAGACCAGAATGACAGGCACTCCAAGCATGAAACTACTATTACAGTAAATTCTGGGCTTATAATACCTCCTGTTTTGTTCTTTTGTCTCAGAAATTGTTCAGCTATTCTAGATCTCTTCTGGTTCCATATAATTTTTTTTTCTGTGCAGAATGTTGTTGGTATTTTGGTAGGAACTGCATTAAATGTATACATCATTTTTTGGTAATATGGCCATTTGCACAATATTGATTCTTCCTATTCAGGAACCAGGGAAAGATTGATTGAGTGATTGATTGATTTCTTTCATCTTTTATTTATTTGAGATAGGGTCTTGCTATGCAGTTCGGACTCCCCAATGTTGGGATTATAGGCGTACGCTGCCAAGCCCAGTTTTGTGGCTGGTGGTACTAGGGATTGAGCCGGTGTATTTGCCTGGCAGGTGTTTAGACTGCCGAGCCCTTGTCCGTACATTTTCTTCAGTCTTTTTCTTTAGAGTACAATAGATTTCCTTGTAGAGCTCTTTCACCTCCTTGGTAAGGTTGATTACTTGTGATTTTTTTGAAGCTCTTGTAAAGGAGATTATTTTTTAACTTTTTTTTTTAGATCACATTGTACTTTGCTGTTTAGCTTCCTGACCAATGTGCTGAATATGGTTGAACTTTTTGGGTGCATTATTGTCAACAGTGTGAAATTGCTAGCATACGAGAATAATCACCTCTTATCAGTAAAAGATTATGTGAAGAAATGGAAGTGAAATTTTTTGTGTAGATAGTAATTAAAAACAAGTACTATTGAGCTGGAGGGATAGCTCAGCAGCATAAGCACTTTCCTGTTTAGCAAGCTCAAGGTCCTGAGTTTGATCCCCAGTCCAAAAAAAACAACCAAACAAAAAAACAGATACTATACCTGTTTTTTTTTTTTTAATTTGTGTGTGTGTGTTTTAAATAAGCCAAAATCAACTAAAATTTATCTTTCTTATAAAATGGAATTATTAATACCTATCTCTTGGATATGACCATTAAAGGAGGAGAGAATTCACTTTTTGTACAGTAAGAAGTTCGGTGTAGATGTGTGCTGTCTTCTGCAAAGTAAATACAAACAGAAATTAGCTTCTCACCTCAGGAGAATGTAGTAGGAACAAAGGCAGGCCTGAGTCGCTCCGTCTTTGCCTTTCCCGAATCCCATCTCGTGTACTTGGTGAACCATGGCGTTCTTATGCTGCAACGCCAATGCTCTTTCCCTCCGTTTTTCTTGTAGTGGCCACGACTGTGAGGAAGGAGAGGTGTTGCTTTATTACTGCTACCAGGACCTGGAGGATCCCCATTGGGTCTGTGCCTGGCAGACAGCTCTGTGTCAGCACCTGCGTCTCACAGGCAAGGTAACATTCTGCACGTAACACCAGCATGGGCCCATTTTGACTCCCACCCTGGTACTCATTCACTGTTAGGTTCTTAGAAGTTAGGGAGTCCTGCTGGCATTTTAGTAAAAAGCTATTAACATGGTGTTTTATGGGATAATATTTAATGGCATAGTCAACTTTTCCTTAGCAAGGCAGATAGTAAATAATTTAGACTTCTTGTAAAGAAACTTAGTACTGTTGAGGCTTGAAAGCAGCTATAGAAAGTGCCTAAGAGTGGCTGCGGCTATGTTCTGAGAGAACTACTGCAAAAGCAGGGATAATTTGCTGAGCCCCAGAATAGCAAAGCATTTGTGAAATCTCAGCTTGAAAGGCCTTTTATAGACAGTAGATATAGGTGAGATTCCAGGTCATTTCTTTATATTCTAGTCAGTGTTATCGTCCTTACCTATGCTACAAAATTGTGATTTTTTTCCTGCATTTCTTTTATCACCAAGTCCTGCCACTTTTTTCTAAAATATGCCTCGATCTCATTCAATTCTTCCATTCATTCTACCATCTTAGACCAAGGCACCACCACCCCTTACTAGGCACGCCATACTTCAGTCTTCTCCCCTCCCCATCCTTTGGTGCATTCTCCACTCCACAGCCAGATCAAGTCCTACCACCCCCAACTCAGTATCTATGCGTGGCTGTCCAGCACTGGAGGGCTGAAACCCATAGCCTTCAGGTGCCCTGAATTCCTGTGGGGTTGGGCCCACCTGTCTTTCCCACTCACCTGATGCCATTCGTCCCTTTTCACACTGTAGCAACATGGTCTTTGAGTTTCTTGGAGGCCACCAAAGTGTGTGTGTGTGCGTATGTGTTTCCCTTCATGTCTTTAAGCCTTTTTCCAGGTAAATTGTCTGCAAAAAACTTTCCTGTACCAACTGTATTTCTCCAGATTAATTTTTATTCAAGCCTCAGTTCCTTGAGGTTCATGATGCTTCCTTCCTTACAGAGATCTTTCTTAACCTTCAGTCTGAATCCATTTCTCCATTGTGCGCTCTCGACGTGTATAGTTATGTTCATAACACTTGTCCATTTGTGACTTTTAATATATATGACCTCTCTCAATCCCTGAATTTCATCAAGAGAGGAAGAATTCTATATATTTTTTCAACCACTGTATCCCTAAGTCCTACCACAATTTCTGGTGCCAGGAAAACAGATTAGTAAATATTTGTGAAATGAGTATGTATCAACATTTGTTTTCAGGGCCAGGGAGATGGAATAAGCACTTCCCTGGCAAGTGCAAGGGCCTGAGTTCAATCCCCCGATCCGTCAAAAACAAAAAACAAAAAACATTTGTTTTCAGAGAACTTCCATGCCTTGAAGGAGGAGTGCTTTCTCAGAATGTACAAAATAGGAAATCAGGGCCAGGGAGATGGTCCTGTGGGGGAAAAAAAGAAAAGAAGTACATTTCTTTTCTTGCTTTGGAGATTTTTATTTTTTGTTCAGTTTAAGTGGTGAACTAGCAGTGAGAAGTGGTTCCCACAAGGTGGCAGCACTTTCCTAGATTTCAGGTCTGAATTCCTAGGCTTCAAGAATACATGCTAATTTAGTGACATTGTTTTGTGCTGGTGGATTTAACAGAATATGGATGCTTTGTTAAAGAAAAAGGAGAACTTGAAATTTCTAGAATTAAGAAAAGGAGATTTTATCCCTATTACTCTATGTCCTATGGCCTCAAGAATTTTGAGAGGATACACAGGAAGCTGAAAAGATGAGATTAGAAGATTTGGACCTGTAAGATGTGGTTTTGAATCCTAGATTATTACTAACCAATATGTCCTTGGATGAGTTTCTAGATTTCTCTGAGCATCTATGTTTTCTTTTCTGTAAGATAGTGATTATGATATCTACTTTACAGATTATACTATAAAGCTTCTGTCTTGTAGTAGGTACCCAATAAATGCTATTATTTCAGTTTCTTAGGTATTAGAAGCCTCCCCCAAACATGAGTGTAGAGATTTCTCTGTCCTAGTTATATAGGGAATAGTTGTGCTTGCCATTTATTTGGACCCTGAGACTAAAGTAGGAAACAGTTGGCCAGCCTGCCAAAAAACAGGCACATTAAGTATGTACCTCATCATAACTGCCTCAGTCAAAACAGTTTTGGATTGGGTTTCCTGCCCCTTTGGCGAGTTCAGCTGTGCGTGGGGTAACAGCCTGTGCAGCAGAGGTGTCACAACTTGCCACTTCGTGTCCCACATCTGAAGCAGCCTACACCACACTCCAGCATTCTTTCTTAGGTAGTATAGATAGTTATAATCTAGAATCTTCATAATGGCACTTTGGACAGCCACTATATATGAGTTTCCATTGGCTTGAGAAGAATTAGATCAAGTAAGGCAACCATTCAAGTTCTTCTCTAATATCTGAAGAAAGATAGCCGCTTAGAAGTTTCAAATTTTGATGTATGTGTATATTAATAGCAGTAACAGTGTAGGACCTTGATTTAAATCACTTCTCTTTCAAGAGTACCATGATACTACAGAGTGCTACACTTGGTAGCACTTCTTTCTAGAGATTGTTCCTTTCAAAGATAATCCATTTTTAAACTCATCTGAAGGATTTTGCAATACCAAAACAACAAGCTTTGCAGGACCACCAGATCATGCCTCTGTAAGGCAGATGCCCTACTCTAGGTTCTAAAATCCCTTAACTGACAAAGCATTTCACAGAGGAAGTGGAGTTTGAGAAGCCAGTGAGCCTGTAATGTGTGCACACATTTGTTCACCACTGTGAACAATAGCAAGCATTGTTTTAGCCACTGGAAATAGATCATTGAGCCTGACACACACCCCTCCTGCGACTTGAGTTTGGGGAGTAGGGTTACAATGGTGGTTTCCCTCCAAGCACTATGAAGAGATGCTGCATATACTTTTGGGTGCCTGAACTTTAGGATTTGGGTAATATCTCCTCAATAGGTATTTCTTTTTTAAATCCAATTTTGTTGTTCCTTTATCCCCTTTTTAACAATGTGAGTAAGTCAAAAGTTCAGAGAAGTGAGTTAACCTTCTGAGGACAACATGGCAAGTAAGTGGGTGGCAGGGCTAAATCGTGATCCTCAGTCTGCTGGCCCCAGGAGGCCTGCATTATACCACCTGGCCTTAGGTCAAGCTCAGGTTTGGCGCTTTGGCTGTTGAATGCCTGGGGCTCTGCAGCAGATGGACTTTCCTGACATTCTAGTGAGACTGCCTTGTTCCGCATGCGTGAGCAGAATACCTCATCTTTAATACAGGTACCCTTGTCTGCTCACGCAGTGGCTTAACTTTGCCTGTTGTTCTCATCAACCTAATGAAAACTAAGGATGTGTTTTATTCCCTGTTTCTCATTATCTTGTGCCTCAGGTTCGAATTGCTACGGAAGGGATCAATGGGACAGTCGGTGGCAGCAAATTGGCCACCAGGCTCTATATGGAAGTAATGATTTCTTGCCCATTATTTAAGGATTATCTGTGTAAGGATGATTTTAAGGTAAGAGGAATCTAAAATAAAAAGATGCAGAGCTGTCTGCTTCTCCCTAAAGCCGAGGTCACTGTAGAAAATCAAGCATAGTGCTGTATAAGCCCTCTTTGTCCTTTATGCTTAGGGCATTGCAGGCATTTCACGCTCATCCCAGCTCTTCCCGCAAGTCATTGCATGGCCTGTGCCAGCTGGCGCCCATCCTAGACCTGAGTCTCCCTTCATATGTAAGAGGGTATTTTAGCTGCACAGCCTCTGACTCTAGACCTTGAATGTACTTTTCACTTGAGAGACTCCCTGACTATTTTAGCAGATCACTATGATTTACTATATTTTCAGTAAATCTGAAACAACATATGAGGAAGCAAAGCCGTTGGCTCTCACAGCTGAACTTCTGTTTCAGTGACTTTATGCTTTATCACAGTAAGTGATAAGGTAATGGTCATGTGGGTAGGTAAGGCTCTAGAACAAAGGCCAGGGTGTAATTGCACTTGGAAATTCTCCGTGGTGCTTTTGGTTTTATAATTAAGTACCCATAGCCATAGAAATACAGTATTTTTGCACGCCTTGGAAGTATGCAGTATTTATTAATATACTGAATTATTTGAAACATTCTGGGCCCTGTCTAGCACATTAAGGTTTGTAATTTTTTTCCTAATTTGAGGTTTCTTAAGATTTCATCAGATTACAAAATAGGTCTTAAATCTTATGTTTAGCTCTTGTCTTACACCTGGTGATGTGACAGGAAGGCTGTTGTTTCTCATTGGCTAGACCAGCAAAGGAGGAGCTCACTGTTTTCCAGAATTGCGTGTTGGTGTATTTGAAGAAATCGTGCCCCTGGGGATCAGCCCCAGTAAGATCTCCTACAAGAAATCTGGTATGTTTGCTTTTAGAAAAGGAGTTGGGCTTTTCACCATAGGGATAAACGTTAATGGACAAATGAGAAAATTAGACAGTGGTTATTAAGAGCGATGATTCACCTTCTAAGTAGCTATGGGCTGGCTAATGTTTGGGTCCATCTAGTGCTTAAATTGGTTTTTATCTATGATGTTTATGATAAGTGAAGGCTCCTTAGAATGACCTATTTTATTCTTGGTGATAGTTTGACAAGAATTTGTTTTAGTTTTCTAAAGATAGTAATTTGAGAAAAATAGTTATTACTCATATATAATTCATCAGCAGAAAGAGCACATAGGCTTTTTACCACAGAAAGCAAGTGGCTTTAAAACCAAAGCAATTTGCAGTGTTCTGGAATGTTTTCTTACCTTTTTCTGTGATGGTTATAGATGACTGAAAGACATTTTGTGTGGTGAGTTTTCTTGTTTCTGTTTACTTTTTTATTTTTTTATTTTTTTTAATTATTTATTTATTTATTTATTTATT